TTTCTGAGGAATCCACACAGAAGACAAAATACAAGGTGGCATAGTGTCGGTAAATTAGTTTGTTATCGGATCCACCTATTAATCTAAAGAGGAAAAAAAACCAAGAAGAGCTTATTTAGCATCTCAGGATAAGCTGAGCAAATCCTCACAGTTATTTCAATTAACAGGAGGCCTAATATTCACAGCTGGAGCTCTCCCAAATCCAACTACATTGCAACTTTTATTTTGTGATGTAATTCCAATGGAAGACTAAGTAACAAGATAGACCAATTTACATTTACCACACAAGCACTTATTGTTATCCATATGGATATAAAAATTACATCAATCTGTGCATCTTTTTATTAAAATCAATTCAAACAGATCACAAAAAAGCAAGTATTAAATGTACTTCCATTCCACACTAGCAGGCAGGCACTGCACAGGGAATAATCTGCTTTACAGATTAACAGTGTATGCCTATGAATCCTTCCCTGACCTTCTCAGAGGAGCATCAAAAGAAAAAAAAACTGTAATGAAGACTGGCATTTGGATAACAAAAAAACCCCTTAAATTAGGTTTATGATCCATTTAATAAACAAGAACATGTAACACTTGTGCTATGGAATGTTTGCTATCTTAAGAATTAGGACCATACTTCAAGCAATAGTTTATAGTCACAGAAGCAATTATATTCTTATGGACTCACTAATAATCATGGCACTGAATGAGAAGAGATCTTAAGAGTTAGGTTCTTCCATTCTTCTGCTATGGCCTTCCATAAAAGGGCACATAATGCACAGGAGATCTACATCAGACCACTGACATTTGCTTTGAGCTGCAAGAGGCCTGCTCCTACAGAAGCAAAAGTATTTTTTAGGCTGAACCTACATGGCCATGACTATTACAATTTTTCCTTAATTCTGTACCAGAACTGAATCACCCATTTGTGCACCATAACTCATCCCTTTAGGTTCTGTCTTTATCACAGGGAGAGAACACACAGATTGAAAAAAAAAATAAAAATTGATCTCTTAGGTCACTTTTGCTTAAGCACTTTGCTCTCCACTAATGCTTGGCAGAGAGCAGGGATGGGGCTATGGAAGGGGAACCCTTTGTTTCTGAAGAGCAGGAATTACATTTATGTATCAAACGACACTTTCACAAACAAATAGGAGATTGGAAAAACACGGCAATTAAAGTTTCTTCTTTTGTGATCTATTTACCCAATTCTTTCAAATACTTCGTACTTGGAAGTACACACAGTTCTACACATAAACTGTTGAGGCCTTTGGGTAAACTGCAAACCATAAAGTGAACCCTGTCCTGAAAAAAAAAGCTTAAAAAAATATTGAAATGGTACGCTTGTAAATGAGCAGTAGGAAGAAAGTCAGAACTGTGTTCTCTGTCTCAGTTTATTCTTGTTAAGCAGCTGTGATTTTTTAAAAAAGCTCCAAATGTCTTCTGCCTTTCACTTACAGAATTCAAGCCAGAATGTTTCCAAGCTGAGATCATCTCCAAGAACCTAATGATAGAATCACCAGTTGAGTAGTTGGAAAAAATAATTTAAATTAAAAAAACAGTAATTTAAAAAATCAGGAATCATTTTGACCAAAAGAAAAGACATCCTAGCTGATATAGTACAGCTAAGCATTTGACTGACTTTGCACACAGAAAATGTAGGTGTTAGCAGACCAACTTTCAATACCCAGAAATTCCCATAAAGATAGTATTTAATGGACTATGACAACCTCTATGTCATAGACTGGAGATCATGAGCTTATTCCATCAATTCTAACCCCTTCTTCTAGAAGGTGGCTTTTTAACTATTTATTCTTGAAGGATAACAAATACTTCAAAATAAAATACATCTCCATTTCAGAATTTATTCAACTAAAACAAGATGACTTCCAAAAACAATGAAGATGATTCAAAAAAGATTATTTTGTGTCTTACAGAGACAGAACACATAAGCCTCACTTTCCTCCTACCTTACTTTTCCTTTATTAATAAAATATCTTGGTTGAAACTGTACTAGTTACCACACTTAAAACCTATTTTTTTTTCTTCCTAGTTCATACAGCAAGCCCAAATCCTGATAAAAAGGCTGAGGAATCCTACTATCAAAGGCTGTCTGCTCAAATTTTAGGAGTTCAAGCCAAAGAACAGCTCCAATGTATTTAATTTTCTAGAGATTTAGCTCAGCTGGTCAGAGCATGGTGTTAAAAACACCAGGTCTGGGCCATTCACTTCAGAGGCCTTGCAAGTCCCTTCAGAATATTCTGTGATTCTGTGGGTATGGCAAGTGCCAATGCCTCTTAAAATGTGATGAGAAATCTTTAGCTTGATTATAGCAAAACAACACCTGCCTGTTCCTTCCCCATCTTACCATCTGAAACAATCATGGCACTAGATATGGCACTGTGGCCATTACATCACCAGGAAAAAATATTTTTATGGCCCGAGACATTTTAGTATATATAGCTATACTTCAGGTAGTAAAGAATATGTACATTTGGTGCACAATAATATAATTCCTTGTGTATCATCAAATCTCAAGCATTTACATTACAGCTGGGAAAAGTTGTACTGCAATCAAAAGAAATAATACTTGAAAGTCAGTATTGGGCATTTCTTTCAAACTTGATACTTACAGTCCCCCTTCTAGAAAATTACAGACATTTTCATCACGTTTTGATACTAAATGAAAAGTTTCTCTGATAATTTGTTGCTGTGTATCTTCACTCTGTAAAAGAAAATACATTTTGCTAAAAAGGATTGACAATGCACAGCACACAAGATTGTAAAACACAGAGTGTGTCAGCACTCTCAAATTATCTGTTTCTGAAGCCTTAAATCTGCCAGTTAACAAGACTTGTATTGTTTGTGTCATTTCAACACAAAACGCCATTATTGCAGAAGAAGGTATTGCTGAGAAATGTGGAAAGATGATTGTTTTTAAGGAACTCCTGTGAAAAATTAACCTAAAAGTAGTTTTTTCAAGTAAACTGGAAGTGTTCTCAAGTAGCTTGAATTTTCTGTACCGCCAACATAGCCTGAACAGCTACAATCATTCTTTGAAACTACTTTTAGCCATAAACAGAGAGCAAATTGAAGTCCTCAAAGCTCGAAGGGAGCAGGGAAGCTACAAATCCCCCAATATGTAACACCTCCAGAAATATCTTAAATACAGAGGGACCATGAGCAACAAGTTCTCCTAAGCCATGACCTTAACTCTTAGCAGATCAGAAACACCACTTCTGAGACTGAATTTTTCTGGCTCTTTAGAAACTTAATTTTTAACTTTGAAATTATGGCCACAGGTCTATATTCTGAAAGACAAAATGAAGGCATATATTTTAATTGCCAAAAGTTATTATTTCTCTACCTAGCTCCAAAATATTATTAACTTCATTTTATGCAGTTTCCATTCTCATATAGATACATCAGCCAACAAAGTTAGACTCATTTTATCAGTTTTAGTATTATGAAAGAAATAAATGCCTCTTTTACAGATCTGACCAATTTAATCTCTGTAGAAAGCAGGAGATGTGTTACCTTGCAGAAGAAAGCTAATATTTGCCTCCAGCACCGGATCAATTTACACTAAAGAATGCACAAGCTTCAAAAGGTCCACATGAAATTACACATAACAATACAGACTATACGATTGCACCTGTTTCTGTGCACCAGAAAGCTTCTTAGTTTAATTTGCTATTCACATTTTCAAAAGCCTTCTCTTTATACAAACATGTTACTTTAAGCATTGAGAACTTAAGTCCAGTTATGAAACTAGTAGATCAGAATGGTTTTATAAGAAAAGCCTGGTATCCTCTGGCTGTTTGTTCCTCTCCTTCCCCTTCTGCTTTAGTCACACATAAGAAGGATCTGTATCAGTTACTCCTTTAATTCAAAACCTGACCAAACTGAAGTGTCACAGTCATCATTTCTGCTCTGAGGTGTGCAAGTAAGATGCATCCCTGTCAATGAACTAGGAGCTCTGTAATAGCCAGAACTGCAAGAAAGGGGCCAGAAATCTAAGTAACTGCGCTGCTAGAAAACGTTATTGTTTACATAACTTTAAGAAACGCCATCTGTTTTCTTGTATTTTAATGCCCAGGCAGACCTCAGCATATTTGCTAGGAAAGAAAAGTACGCTCAAAACATTATCTTAAAATTTCTTATCCTTGACCTAAATCACGAGTTTCCACTGCACTTTCTTTCCATTCAGACTGAGCGCTTGTGCTGCATTTTCAGAGCTGCTTTGCTGCTTGCAAAGAATGCTCTTTTCTAGCTCGTTACGTTTTCATATTAACAGCAATTTCAGAGCACAGTGAGACTTTCCAAAAGAAAAGGTTCCGCTTAAGAACTCGCTCTGCCTGCCCTGCTGTAGCATGGAGACAGGCAGTACCGCGCCGGTGAGCGGAGCTTAGCGAAAGCAGCGTTTCCACACCACAGCTATAGGGCAGCCGAGCTTGCCGCTGGATCACACTCCCTTCCTCCCGCCTCCACCTTCGGAGCTCCTAAAAGGCAAATCCCAGCACCGGCTTTCTTCGAAGCCTCACACACACGGTCTCAGCACCGTCCCCTTCCCCACGGCGCTGCCCTGGGCCCAGCGCAGCCCGGACAGCGCCGAGGGGCCTCAGGTACAACCCCGCCTCCAGGCCCATTTATCGCCTGGCTCCCACCCGCCCCGCCGAGCCCTGGCCCACCCGTACATAGCGCTGGTAGAACTTGGAGAGCCGCGGCTTGCCGTGGTTGTTAAAGATGAGGATGGCTTTGATCATGGTGGGGCGGCGGCCGGACGAGCTGTGCTGTGTCCCCCTCCCTTCCTCTTCCTTTTCCTCTCCCTACCCTGGTCCCACTCCCGGGCCGGTGCCAGCAGGGCGCGCGCACCACGTGACTGTCGGGGCGCGGCCGCTGCCGGCGGGACAGCTCGCGCCGCACGAGACGCTCCTGGCGCGTCACGTGACGGGAAGGCGGCGTCCTACGAGGGACAAAACGCCTCGCGGGGCGGAGGCCGCCCCTCGCGTGGCGTCACTTCCCGCCACCAGCTCAGCAGCAGCATCATGGCGGAGCCTGAGGAGCAGCAGCCGCCTGCCGTAGCGCAGAGTGGCAGCCGGAGTGATGGCGGGGAGGAGGCCCCGGAGGGCGGGACCGCGGCGGGGCCTGCCGAGCCGGGCCCAGCCGAACCGGGCCCGGCCCCAGCTGGGTCGCCAGGCACCGAGGAGCCCGCGGGCGAGGCGAAAAAGAAAAGTACTGGGGTGGGAGGTCTTCGCCGGGGCGGGCGGGCGCGGTGACGGGTGGGCGCGGCGGCCAATGGGCGGCGGGGGCGGGCGGTGTGGGCCAATGAGCGGCAGGGGGCGGGCCCGCTGTGATTCGCCGTTCCCCGCAGTTGATGTGCTGCTGAAGGCCGTGGGCGACACCCCTATCATGAGGACCAAGAAGTGGGCGGTGGAGCGGACCCGGACCATCCAGGGCCTCGTGGACTTCATCAAGAAATTCCTCAAGCTGATGGCCTCCGAACAGCTGGTACGGGCGGGCACCGGGCGGGGTCTGCGGGCGCAGGACCCACGCTGTCAAACTCTGCAAAGGCACTGTTGGAATCTAGGCTACAGCTGCCTGTAGGAAGCCTGGAGGACAAGCACCGAGAGAACTATTCGAAGTAGACCCCAGAATGTAATATTGAGCGAGCTGTAGAAGCGCGGTCCGGGTGTGCTCGACACTGACCTTTGGACTTTTTGCAGTGTCTGCATTTCTTTGTGTCTGCCAGGCAGAGCTGTGTGCACGCTGGGCAGCTCTGTATCCCAGAGAAACATTCCTAGGCACCATGTACCTGGAGGAATTGGGTATGGAAACGGAGTATTTGAGAAACAGTCCATAGTTTTTGGGATCAGCTTTCTGAATCTGTCTGTTTCCTTCAGAACTCATATCTGAAACAGTTTAGTTACTGTCATAGGACTGATTTTGCTTTTAAAATGGGTAGTTAGGAAGTGTTTGCCCTTGAGTAGCAGATGGCCGATGTCATTTATGGGTTCCTTCCTTCAGAAGTAACTAGCCAAAGTGAACTCATGATAACACTGGAAGAGCTGGAAATACAATTGCACTGATTTTGTTTTTCTGAAGTGAGCTCTCAACATCCATACAGTGCAAAGTTTTTATTTAAGATATACAGTTAAAGCTGGACTCATTAAAGTAACTAGTCAGCTAGTGTAGCAGATTTAATTATATTCATGGTTTGGAGGATCTTATTTAAGTATATTGGCATAAATGCACTGAGGTCAGGAACCTCATTCACCTGGAAATCATGAGGGGTCTGCTTTTCCCTGGTTTATCTCAAAGATGAGTGATAAGTATGATATCGACTAAGGACATCCTCAGCAGTTTGATTCAGTGATATCATCTCATTATCGCAGGACAAAAAAAAATAAATAGGAGCACATAGCCTTCCAGTATGGCTAAAGCCTAAGGCTATACTTCAAGAACAAAGCCCTAGGAATTTTGTATCTTTTATTTGGAAATAGCACATGATACCCCAGTACCCGCATCTGCCTCGCAGGGCGGATCCCACGGCCCTCTTTGTCATTGTGGATTAGCTTCTATGCATTTAAATGCATTTTTTGGAGCAGGAAGTGAGAAAGACTTGAAAAATAGAACAAGATGTTTCTGATTTCTGTGATGGCTGTCCTAATTGAGTAAATCTGGAATAGTGTGAATTGTTTTCGTTGAAGTAAGAGCAAGAGCTAAACCAATGAGTTCACTTTGTGCTGCTCTGTGGGAGAGTAAAGGATCAGCTTGCAGAAAAAGGAAGTTACCATACTTACTTTGACTTGGTCTGGCAGGCCAGACAGAGATGACTCCTCATGGTCATGTTGCCCCTCCACATTGAAATGAAGAGAGTAACTGGTCATATTCTGATATAGGCTTAAAGATTATTACAGATCTTCTGACTGCGGAATGATTCTTCTGTGTTCCCAGTGAGAGCCATGTGAGATTTCCATCTCTTCTCTCTCCTTTTCTTGCAGTTCATATATGTAAACCAGTCTTTTGCTCCATCTCCAGACCAAGAAGTGGGGACTCTCTATGAGGTAACTTTCATCTTAAATATCCTTTCCAAATGTATTTAGCAGGATTTGTCAGCACACGTCGGGCACTTTAAATCTGTTACTGCCCCTAGGAGTAATATCTTGCATTTGGTTTAGTGTAGCTGATATTCACAGATCTGTGTGAGTGTGGTCCAAAGAGATGTGACTTCATGCAGTCTCTAGAAATGCATTCCTCCATGTGCAGTGTGTTGCCATGCCTCTCATTTTAGTGGGGAGGTTTCTCATGAAAATTTTCCATGGCATGTTTATCCAGTGGGAAGACTCTTTGCTTCATGTATATGCTCGCCCATGAATAATTGTAACAGCTCTTTTTTTTTTGTTTTTTCTTGCAGTGTTTTGGAAGTGATGGCAAGCTTGTACTGCATTATTGCAAAACGCAGGCATGGGGATGAATGACTGGCAACACAATTGTTCAGGTGTTCTCTTCAAAAATGGAGAAAGGACTAACTTAAGCTGTAAACACACAGGAAGAGGGATTTTTGCATTGCTGCCTATGAACATGTGATGCATGTGAATAGCATAAGCAAAGAACTGGCTAGGCTATACGATCACATGGCTTTTTTTCTGATGTACATTTGAGGTGCAGAAAAACCACCTGCATCTGCCATGTAGAGTAGAGCCAGCACTCTTGCTGCTGACTACTTAATTGCTGTGTCTGAAGAGAAAGGATTTCAGTTGTCTGCAGGACTGACTGGACAGCTCTGTCTATATGCTGTACCGAATATAAGAGAACCTTTTTAATAAAAATTATGTCTGTTGTACATGTAGCCTGGCATTCGGTTTACTTCTGACATGTTGTACATCTGTCATACACAGAGATGTACGTCTATGATGTGCATCCTCTTTGTGAAGTCTTCATCTTGAATGGGCATTATCCTATAATTTCAAGACCGTATTTTGATTTTTTTTCTCGTAATATATAGGAATTGGTATCTAGTCTAATTACTCCATCCTTTGCTTTCATTGTGTTGGTAATGTGAGTACCTCGTTTAAAATGGCACAGCACCATGAGACACCTCGCAATATTTCCCTCCTGCACAAATTCTGTAGTCATGTGTTAAAGGCTCAACACTTCAGCAGTTTTCAAGGTATTTCTTCTGATGCTATTTAATGACTTGCATCTTTAGCTGAATGATGCAGCTAGTATCTAGAGATCATGAAAAAGTAGATGTGAGGCTAAAAGCTGTATGTTCTCTTTTTGACTGTTGTTAATTTTCATGTTTCACCAGCTGTGTGATTCAGTAAACAGTAGAATGCAATTTATATTCTTTTGCTAAATCATAGCAATGAAGAATGATAGAAGGTTTTTTCCCTTATGGAGAGCACTTGGTACCTTGACTAGGGAGCTGACCTTTGCTTTTATTTATTGGAGAGTTTGGGTGCGAGGGGTGGAGATTTTTAGTGTGTTTATTTGAAATGTCTGCTGTACAGTCTTCTATGTTTGTTGGAGCTGAACCAAGTTAAAGGTTAGTTGTTTGCTTGCAGAATGTCCTTATGCTGGATGACAGTTTTTGTCCCTGACATAATCCTGTTCTTCAGCATGTACAGACAAAACAGCCAGTTCTAGTATAAAGCATGTTTCTACTATAGTCTCGAACTCGTATTTCATACATAAGTGACTCTTACGCAGTCTCTGCACCTGTGTATCAGGATTTTTTTTCCACCTCAGAGGACTTCTGGAAGGGTAGTACCCAGCTTAACTTACTGATATTGCTGCAGTTTACATGAAGCATGCACGTATGCCACAGTTTCACAGGCATGTACCCTGAATGCTCGCTATGTGAATAGGTTGATGTATCTTGGTGCTTTGTAAATGGAAAACTTGGGTTCACTTCATTAAACTAACAAGGCAGAATTTATTATGAGCTTAAAAGTTCGATTAATACATACTTTCGCCAGCTCAGAGCCCTGATCTCATGAATCTCCATCTGTTTAAAAGAGCTATTGCAGAGGGAAGCACTGATTCTGTCTACAGAGGAAATTGCCTGCTTAGTTACTGTGAAGCCAGCACAACCTCGACAGCCACTAGAGGGTACACAAGGACAAAGGTATTTGCACAGTTTTATCTAGGGCTCTTTTTCAATCTTTTTCATAGTATGTCCACATGCTGGCCTTTCAAATATAAGTAGTTTGTTCTCCCGTGTGACAGTATGTTTACCTAAGATAAGCTACTAGTCTGGTTCTCTTTAAAGAATGTTCTATTGGTGCCTTTCACCTCACTTGATCTTAACAAATGAAACTACTGATAAACTGCAAATGTGCTCTTCAGAAGTGATGCAAGAAGGTTGGGGTGTGTGTGTGTGTGTGTATTGGGGGCGTTGTGTTTAGGTTTTAAAAAGTAAAAACACATTAAGATCTTGAACTGTTGGTCATTGTATCTGCCAGCTAATTATAGAAGGTTGTAATTTATGCTGAATCTATAAATTTTATCCTCTGAAGTTGAATAAAAAAAATCATTTGCCTCAATTCTTCAAAATGTGATAATCCAACAATGTAAAACCCACATAGGTAATAGTCTGGATTTCCTTCTTTACCACATGTATTTTTGGACCTAGATAAACAAATCATGAAGCTTGGAATTACTAATTTATCTAAGATTCAGCTTGTTCCCTGAACAATACTTACTTATTACTGTTTGCTTCAGCATTTTTCTGCTCTCAATTTTTCACCAACTCCAAGTAATTTTTTCTTGTCCCTAGTTTACCAGTATGCAGTGAGTACATACTGATCCAAGCCTTGTTTTCTGTTTTCTCAGTGCTCCTAAGCAGCTGCTTTTATTCTGTTACTTTTAATGACTGCCAGCTCCAGTTCTGCTAATTCCCCCATGTAACTTCTGTACCCTCTTTACAGAGAGAGTCCTCCTTTTTGCCACTTTTCCCTGTGGTTTTGTACCTTGCATCAGGAAGGTGGTCAGTACTTACCTCTGGTAGCTCTTTAAGGAGTCCATGGACTCCTTCTGTCTGGAATTGAGGTGTAACTTTAGGTGGCAGAAAATTTTCCTTGTTCATATTCTTAAGTAACAAACTAGACTGCAAACACATCAAGTCGATAATGTGTCAAGTGGATAAATGATTCCCAGTACATGAATTTGCAAAAGACATGTTAAATCTCCTATTTTAAAAAGGGGCAGTTATAGCTTCTAAAACCATAGATGATCCTGAGCTGTTTATCTCTTTGAAAAGAGTATTTCCAGTTAATTGGAAACATCAGTAACCCAAGTGGAGTAGGAGCTGTGTTCTCTGCATTTGGTATGCCTTGAGCAAAAGTGGTGACTGTATCAATTAAGTGATTTCAGTTGCTGGAGTGGAAGAAAAAGGGTATGAAAGTAAGGACTGACTCTTGCACAGGTCAGAGAGAGTTGTACAAAGAAAAAAAAGCCTAGATTTACTCAGAGTATTCAACCAGTATGCTACTATACTTACATACTATACTGAACTGCCAGTATTTGTAATGTTATTTAACTCAACTTGATTTAATGTAATTGAATTAACAGAAAAGGCAAATTGAAAAAATTCAGTAAAGTAATTTTTAAGGTCTGAGAAGTAAGTATTGGAAAGGGAAGTTAGTACATTATTTTTATGACAGACCTAGTACTTCACAACATCCTGATATTAAAAAACAAGTGCAAAATTCAGTTAATCTGTTTCAACTAATAATCATCAGATGCAAACCCTTTAAACTGTGACGCACTATTTTTATGAATTATTATAATGGTTTAGAGACTACCATTAATTCGTAATTTGTAGCTTAAATTAATTTGAAATGCACATGGGAACCTGAAGGAGCTAAATGAAACTGAATTTACCTCGAGTGAAATGATAAAATACACAGTTGTGCCACCTATGTGCATACTGAGCAAATGTCATTGTTTCCAGGACTTTAAAGTCTCGGAAGACTATTGCTAAGATCTTAACAGATGTGTCTGTGTTTATTATTCCCACAACTTAATCTTGAATGTACTGATACACAATAAATTCATGATGGGGGGATTGGAAATCCATGCATCCATTCTTCAAACTCTTTCCAACTCCAAACTCTCTTTACTGATTGTTGCTGTTCATGCTCATTTTGCAAATCAAATTCTGCCTGTTTGCACAACTTTTTTGGCTTACATTATTTTTGACTACCCTGAAGTCTCAGTTATTCTTCAGAAATATTGTGCAAGGCATATTCAAGGCATTTTCATACTACAACATCTTCATCTTGTGGGTGAGAAAAAAAAGGGAGGTTTTTCATGAGGACTGTGACTATTACAAGCTTGTATAAAGTTCAATGTGCTTTAAAATAGATGTTTTCAAGCTTCTCTTATACTGGATCATCAAGAGAAGAAAAAAACTTGACAAGAAAACATGTAAAAATGTCTTTCTTTGCAAAGACCATGCTTCAGCTTTGTTAGTACCATATTTAATATGCTTCCAAGGCTAAGTGTCATAAAAATCCATGCTTTACTCTTTCTTTAATAGCCATAACGCTGTGATATGTCAGATCCCTCTTTTAGTCAGAATTAGAGTGACAAAAGCTCATATAGAGATTGTTTCATCCTAAAATTGGTGGTTAAAAAAGGTTCGATCACATTTTTGACTGAGACCAAAAAGAGTACGTTAAAGGCTTAATGTTATGCCTGTCACACTACATCTGTCACTAGACTTGGTAGGGCCAGGAAATTTTCTGGGACACTGTAGCTCAGTCATCTGTACAGTTGGTTGTTAGAGCAGTTTCTGGCATAGATTTTGGCCTGTGCTCAATTCAGGAGCTGGCAAGGTACCATTTCTGGTGGGCACTTTGGATGTGATCAGCCTGTAATGGAGTAAATGAATGAAGGTAAATAACATGGATGTGATCTGTTCTTTGCAATTTGGCCCCTGTGCCAGGGATCAGTCCTTGGGATTCTTGTTGCTAGGTACACAGGTGAAATTTCAGGTGAGATTTGATCCCTTGTATGCACAATGAGAAGAGTTAATCTTCGGGAGGAAAAACATCATCCTTCTTCAAACTTCAGGAGCAATCTAGGAACTTTTTAAAAATTATTCCCCTGCATCCCCTCCATGCAATTGTCTGTAAATTCATAGGCTCTAAATGTCTACTAGTAGCCACATCGAGTAACATTTTTTGTGAAGTATGCAGATTATAGATGGTGATAATGTACTAGCTATATGTCGTGGTTCAATCACTTCTCTTTATTAAAAGTACATGATGAACATTACTTAATTTTTTTTTTTTTAAACGTGCAGGAGTTTCGGAGTCCTTGCTCCGTATCTTCCCATGGAATGATTCGACATGCAAATTATATATAGTGTGTTTGTCAATTAGACAGACACAATGTAGAGTTAAAATGTAATTGCATTGAGTACCTAACCATAAAAAAAAAGAGTTAACATGTTCCAATTGCAAAAATCAATATATGATTTAAAGCAGATAAAGATGTATCCCTTGAACTCTGTTTAGTATCAGAACTAATAGCCCTAAAGAGCTCTTAATGGGAAACGTCTAAAGAAGGAAAAAAGATCTCCAAGCAAAACTACACAGTAATATTCCTAATGCAGAGATTAGCTAGCACTTTGGCTTTCTCATGTAAATACCATCAGTTGAAAAAGACCACAAATTTACTTTCAAGTGTCTTTCTTGCAGAGAAAAACGTCAATATTTTGTATTTTATTTATAGCATGGTGTACTAATGTCCCACCAAAAGTGGATCAGACTGATTTTTCTGAGAGTTCTTTCTGTGCTGTGTGGTTTAATGCTACACAGCTCATCACTGCATTG